TATGATAAATGTGTGTTTATTCAATTGCTTATATTTGTTTGTATTACTATTTGTATTGTACAATCACCTTTTTCACCCCTAACAGTTAAATTTTTTCGCCTTTGGAATACAGATTGAATTGAATAAGTAAAAAGTAATGCCGTTTGAGAATGAAAGTGATACAATACAGTATGTGTTACAATGCCTAATCACGCAATGTGATTTCATGTGTATTAGCGTGTATTTATGTACTTAATGTTCTGCAAATGATGCCAGAGGGAATGATGATCACATGTGTGCTGTTATTACACTGCGTTATACTTGTATAGAAATCACGTAATTATGGCTACTGGTGTGCAGCACATGTACCAGAATTAGATTTATGTATGTACAGTATTTGTAATAGCATCCAGCCTGAACCCAAATGTCACAGGCTCTCTCTATTAGATCAGCACCATGAAACAAAGGCTATTCCACTGTCAAAGGAGCTGCTGCATAAAGCTCTGCAATCATTATGACAATGTCCAAAAACTGCCTGAGAGAAGAGAAACCAAACTCTCTGTTTCCATAATAATCCATAAAAGAGTGGACACAAAAAGCCACAAAACGATGTTATGGCCGATGGAAAAGAGATAGTATTAATTGAATCGCCCATATTAGCATTTTAACTGCAGTGTATGTCTTACAGTGTGTTGCTGTCCATTTTAGCTGCTAGAGAGTGATTATTGAGGAGCATGGCAAAGGATTTGGCAACAACAAAGCACACTGTGTTTTTGAAAAACAGCACTTTTGATATCCTGCATGTCTGAGATAAATGTAAAACAATGTAATATGACGACAGGGGAGACTATTCACTGCAGTTCCTGAATTTACTCATCCATTTTATTGCCAGTACTTTCACGTGGTGCGTCTGGTCAAAAACGAGTTCCCCAAGGAATAAATAGGGTGTAATTTGAAAGTTGCCCTACATTTGGCTCAGTTGCTTTCAAATGCTGCCTGTCAAGTAGCGCCATGTGCTGCAGCACCTCTCACTCCGCCTGCCTGCCTGCCCAGCGGCCGTCCGCTCGGTCAGGTGAGTTATTGCAAGGACTGTTCCTTAAACACCCCCCCACCACCACCACACAC